TAGGTAAACCCTGTTATTGTGTGCCTTGAAACAGGCCAGTACTGTAGCCTCTCTAATGAAGAGGGCCTTGAGCCTCCAGGTGCAGTTTGACTAAGATGACTGTGCAGCAGTGATAAATTCTTGTGCTCTCGATTCTTGTCCCACGTCACCCTTCCCATGGTGGGTTATGGGGTGTGATCGCTCCCCCTGATCTAAGATGTATGTGCATGTATCTGTGTATGTCTGACCTGTCTTGTTCTGCCCTAGGGCGTGCTATGCCGGACTCTTCAAGGTCATGGCCACTGGGTGAACACCATGGCGCTTAGCACAGACTATGCCCTGCGCACAGGGGCCTTTGAGCCTGCTGAAGCCACAGTGAATGCCCAAGACCTGCGAGGGTCCTGTGAGTGAGAGGGAGGAAGGGTGCAGGCTGCTTGGACAGGAACCAGTTCTCCATCCTAGTGAGCAGATGTCTAACCAGTCCTGTTCTTTATTCTCTCTCTCTCCATTGGCACCTGCACAGTGAAGGAGCTGAAGGAGAGGGCATCGAGTCGCTACAGCCTTGTGCGGGTGAGTCTGTGCTGCCAGCATGCAGCCCTGGCTCAGGACTCTTTCTCACCTATCACAGAAATTCCAGTCATAATCTTCGTATCTTAACACGCTGGGCATCATTTAAATTTTACTTATTTATTACTCTTGTTTCTTACTTCCTTTGTTGTCTAAGGAGGACATTTATGTGGTTCAAAAGATACACGATTGTGAAACATCTTCCATCTTTCACATAGTTGTCCATCATCCCTTTTGGAAGCTTCCAGTGCTGCCATAGGCTGGCATTCACGCAGTCAGTATGCACAGACTGTGTGTGCATAAAACAACCCACATATGAAAGCCATCCCCTTTTTAGTGCCATTCTTTATATCTTAGGACTCTTCCACACATGTGGGCTACCCTGGAGTTTCATGTGAGCTCACGTCCCTGCCAGGCTTCCTTTCCCTAGTTCTGGCTTCTGTCACTGTTGCATAGCCAGTATCTGACCACCTAACACTGTGCTTTCTCGCCCAGGGCCAAGGCCCAGAGAGGCTGGTGTCTGGCTCAGATGACTTCACCTTATTCCTGTGGTCCCCAGCAGAGGACAAGAAGCCCCTTACACGAATGACAGGACACCAGGCCCTCATCAACCAGGTGCTCTTCTCTCCTGACTCCCGCATCGTGGCCAGTGCCTCCTTTGACAAGTCTATCAAGCTGTGGGATGGCAGGACGGGCAAGTGAGTGGAGACGTGGGGGCTGTCCCTTATTAGCAGTGGGGTTTGGCATGAACTTGGTGACACCACTTTCTGCTTGTGTGGCACTGGCAGGTTCTGCTTTCCTCCGCCCACACTTCTGACACATAGACCTTTCACCTCAGCACTGAACTTGGACTGGTAAAATGACACGTTTAGGGACAGCCCTAAATGAGCCACATTTCCGATTGTAAGAAGGAGTTAGGGCTAGCCACAGTGCCAGGGACGCGGCAGCCCTAGAGGTGAACAGTGGCTAGAACTGTGTTGTGCCTCTTGTCCTCAGAAGGTGCTCCACACAGCAGTGATACCAGCATCTCTAGGAGGTTGGCAGAAATGCAGAATGTAGGGGTCCAAAGAGATGGCATATACTGCTTTTGCAAAGGACCCACCATCTGGCAGCTCAAAACCACCTCCATCACCAGCTTCAGGGGGATCCTATGCCTCTGGCCTTCACAGGACCTGCAATCATGTATTTATCTAAGAATAAAAATAAATCTTTTTTCTGGGTAGTAGTGGCTTACACCTTTAATCCTAATACTGGGGAGGCAGAGACAGGTGTTTCTCTGAGTTTCAAGGCCAGCCTGGTGTACAGAGCAAGTTCCAGGACAGCCAGGGAAACCGTGTCTCAAAAAATGTGTGTGTGTATAATCGAATGAAAATGTGGACTCCAGTCCAACCCTTGTGCATCAGAATCTGCACCTGGTTATTGTGCTGTCAACTAAGTCTGAGAGGCCCTGTTATGAGGGGTGCGGTGTACCAGCCATTATTAGGTTGGAGAAGAGGCATGATGTGTAGGAACAGAGAAGCAATGGCTGTCGCTGTGTATTTTCATACCACAGTTCTTTGAAATGATAATTCAGTTCCTTTAGAAAGCCAGGAAACTGAGTCTCAGGCCTAACGGCTTAACCAGACATTACTGCTAGACTCTATTAACTTGAAAGCTCCATCTGGGCCTGGCCCACCGTTAACTCCATGCCACCTGTCAGCTGGCACCTGTTATGCTGGAGGACACCAGGCAGATGGGCTAAGCAGGTGGCATGTTGGGCTTTCAGGCATGCAGAGTTGTGCAGGTCTGGAGGCTTAGCAAGAGGCAGCCTCAAAGCAACTCAACTGGAGTTGTTTTACAAAAATAGTAATGACCAATAATGATTAAAATAGCCCAGCATGGGACCCAGGAAATGCTAGCAGGTGGTCAAGGTTGAGAGCTGCTGTTGCTGGCATGGAGGACATGTTGAAGATCTAATACTTATCACTGGCTTCCCCTGGCTCAGGTACCTGGCTTCCCTGCGTGGCCACGTGGCTGCTGTATACCAGATCGCCTGGTCGGCTGATAGCCGGCTGCTGGTCAGTGGCAGCAGTGATAGCACACTGAAGGTGTGGGATGTGAAGGCCCAGAAACTGGCCACAGACCTGCCAGGCCATGCTGATGAGGTAAGGCTGACTGATGGAGGCTGGGATCAGCCCTGGCCCTCTTGCCCTCAGCACATCACTGTCTGACCCCTTTCCTCCTTTTAGGTTTATGCCGTCGACTGGAGTCCAGATGGCCAGAGAGTAGCAAGTGGTGGGAAAGACAAGTGCCTCCGGATGTGAGTGGGGTGTGCCAGAAGCTGGGGTGCTTGGTTCTCCTGGCCCACATTGGCCAGCCCTTCTCTGCTCTTTGCCATGGCATGGAATTCGAAGGGACATTCTTGTGTTCTGGAGGGAGGGCATGGGAACCTGGTTCTCCATGGGAGATAGAGACAGGGGCTTATGGGAGACTCTGGAAGAACCTGTAGGTCTCCATAATGCAGTAGTTCATCATTTGTTGGCCTGGGACCTAGGTTCAGGTCCTAGTTCTGTCAGTGTGCAGGCACAGCACCTTTCCAGACAGGAGGGTCACAGAGGGCATGAAGAGTGACATCTAAAAGCACTGTGCTGTGTCAGCTACTTGCTGCTTGGTGGTAGGTACTGCAGCACCCCAGGGAAGGGTTGAGGCAAGAGGGGAGGGCCTGGCTGAAGTACACAGTTGAGTTTGAGCTAGAGCAGACAGCAGGCTCTTGACAGGGCTGTAGGCAGCATGTATCCCTCCCCACAGATGGAGAAGATGAAGAACTCCACAGCTTCCTGACCCCTACCTGGACTCAGCCCCTGCCTGCCTTGCCAGAGACCAACTAATGCACATGGCCACCTGCCCAGGACAGGTCCCCAGTGTGTGACAGTCCCAGGAAGTTACAACATGGAGCTAAGCCATGGACACTTCTGGCTGGTGCTGATAGCGGTGGGAAAAGGCCTCTGGATCCCACATCCTTTTCCAAGTGTCAGCTGTACAGGCCCAGACCCTTGGCTGTATGTGGCCAAATAAATAATTTATATTTTGTGTTCGTGTTGTAGTTTCTTGTCCTAGAACTGCCACCACCCCACCCCCTACAGTCCTGTTTGCCGCTCCCCCAATCAAGGACTCTGAGAAGGTCCATCTGGCCCCTCCCTTGCACTGGATGACATCAACCCAGCTGATCAGGAAGCTGCCCTTCCTGCTGCTTCACAGTAAGGGAAAGACCAGTGTGACCTTGGCCATAGGAAAGGCTAAGGCTATGCTGTCCGTGGTCACCCTGGACACGTGCCCGTTTGCAGCAACTAAAACTACACATATCTAGGGACCCTGCTTATGTGTACTCTGGTACTAGTAACAGTCTTGCCGCTGCTTTCAGGCATACTGCTCAAGGCCCTCCCAGATGCCTAGCACTGCACTAGGCCCTCAGGCTTGAGAACAATGCCAGGGCCATCACAAAGGACCGATGGCCAGCAGGGGACCAGTGGTGTGGGCACAGTGTGATGATGGACTGTGATAGGACTGAATGTGTATGATAAGAATGAAGGGTATATCCCAGTATTTCAGCTTATATCCCAATATTGCAGGCCTTTATCCTGCAAGAACCTACTGTCTTTCTCTTGCTGTAAATAGTTGCTGGGGCTCAGTGTTGTCTGTTGATGGCCTCTGTCTGTGGAGGAATTTCTGGGTCTGCCTAGTACTGGATCCCTATGCTTCCCACCTCCATTTGGGGCTTTTACATTTTGCACATCACCCAAACTGGGTGTTCAGCCTTCCCTCACATATTAAAATAGGGCTGCAAGAGAGGCACAGGGAACCACCAGTTAGATTTGCTTTGTATCAGGCATATCTGTGTCACAGTGATCCTGCGCCCGAGCCTGAATGGCCTCATATTAGAATGAACTACCCGAGTCTCTAGAGACAATGACCTATTTGTACCTCACAACGGGGAAAAGCTAGGATTCAGCCAGAACATCCCCTGAAACCTGGGTACTTAGTCTTGAGTGTCAACCCAGTTGTCATTCTATCTGCTGGACTGGTGGTTCTGACAAGAGAACCGTGCTCTGGCCCAGCTTAGGCTTATGGAAAAGGAAGCATTATTTCAGGGTTCTGAATGGGCCTTCAGTTCTTTAATGCGGGACCTGGAATCAGCCCAAGTCAGGGAGGAAAGAGGGTGGCTAGCAGCTGTTGGGCAGTGGCTGAGCCTGGTCCAGCCCAAGGTGTGTCTAGGTGAATGAGGCTCCTTTCTATCCATTGCCCCTTCTCCAGGGGTAAGGTTCCTCCAGTACGTCTGCCACAGGCCCTGGACTGGTGGGTAACTAGTGGTTCTTTGGCATGGTGCTTGCTGGTACAGTATCTCTCCTGATTCTGATTCCTAAGGACCCAGGGCCAGGGCTGACAGTGGGCAAGGGATAGCCTCGACTGCACACCCCCTAATACGGATATAGGTATTCCAGATCCTCCAGCCTCCGCATCTCCTCCATCGCCATGGATACAATTCTCCGCTGAGGCTGTTTGCGCCGCACAGTAACCTGGATGGGATTGTTCTTGGGGAAGCTGCTGAAGTCAGTAGACAGAGTTGCAAACTGAAATAAAACAAGCACCCTCAGGATGCCTTCCCAGGCTAGAGTCTTAGCTCTCACTCATCTCCATTATCCTTCTTGCTGCTAAGTGAGATCTTGGCCTCATGCAACACAGTCACTGTGGGGTTCTCTCTACCCTAGGCCCCTGACACCTGCAAGCTGTAACTTTTGGTCTGTTCCCTTTTCCCTTCACAATTCTTGGTCCACTCACAGTTACCGGCATTACAGACTACGAGACCTTGTGGCTTTGAAAAAAAACGAACATTGTGATGCTACGACTACAGTTACCAGTTTGCATGACTGATGGGCCGGTAAACCTCTCAGGGAACAGCAGTCTGGAATTGATGCTTGTTGGCCCAGACATAAGGAAAGCAAGCGAGGACATGAGACTTGGAGGGCTACTCCATGCTTCCAGGACTCACCTTATAGGGCTTGCACCACTTCCCCAGCCCCGCTGTGTTGGCTGCTCGGACAGTAAGGCAATAGATTGTATTCGGCTTCAGCTCCATCAGCTTGATTGTGGTGCCCAGGATCTTGTTGAAGATCCACGGGCGGTTCTTGACCTTGGGTGTCTCCTTGTTGCCTTGTTTGGTTGCCTCCTGCAGCAGCACCTGGTAAAAACTGACCTGCTGCTTGCCCACAGCATAAGTCCAGGAAATCTAGGGGAAGAGAGAGAGCCCAGGCTTCCTCAGGTCTGGCTGGCCTGTGGCACTAAGGGTGGAGGGGGAGTCACAGGTGCCCTTCCGTTCCTGTTCCTACTGGAGGTCTGGAGGAGAGTGCAAACCGTAGGCCTCACAGCACAGGGAAGGGGGAGGAGCTCCACCCACCTCACAGTGCTCCTCATTCCGTAGGCCTAAACACTCAGCTGAAAGCTACCTATGGAAAGCACATTTTCCAACTGTAGGGAGGTCATCACACAGCAACCAATGACAGACTAGAAGTCTGACTTAGCATCTCACAGGGAGTTGCCATAGCATTTTCATTACCTGGGACTAAGTAAGCCGATACACATTGTCAGGCCTCCCTCAAACCTTGTAGGGTTGGAGTCTAGGGGTCTAGGTATGGACAAGGTGGTCTGTGGGAACATGACTGGCCCAAGCCTTCCCTCAGGATACACTGGGCCTACTGCTAACCTCTACACTTCCCAGTTCCAGCCATTGCTCAGTTGGAAGTAGCCTTTCCCTCTGAATTCCCGAGTCTTTTCTGCATTGAACAGAGAACCAGTGAACCTGATCTGCCTCCTGCCTCCCTTCCTAAACCATGAACCAGAGGTCAGAATGCAGTGGCGATTCCCTTCACACTTCTCTTGGAGTTCAGTGCCTACACAGTAAGCCTTTGACAAAAGAAAAACATACCACAGCTGTGGAATCGCCAACGGTGTGTTCGCAGATGAAGGGGGCCTCTGGCACATCCATGACCACAGAAGACTCAGAGCGTGTTGAGGAGGTGTCTGTGTCTATTGCAGGGTTGTCAAGGTCCAACAGGCCCCTGGTGGCCATTTGGGACTTAGATGAGTGGGAGCAGATGGCCCGATTCTCCTTTTCTGTCTTTTTGGCCATCAATGATAAATTGAGTTTGTTCAGCTCACCCTCCAGCATCCCGGCAAAGAAGCTGCTGTTGGGTTGGGTCACAGCCAGTTTGATGGGATTCAACAGAGTGAACGATAGGGGAGACAGGCTTGTGTCGTCTGAGCTGTATTCAGAATCTTCCGCTGGTACCTGTTTCCTGAAGTGGGAAGGACAGGGATGTTGGATGACAGAGGCTGCCCGCAACACATCAGCCTGAGGAACCCTGAACCCACGGCCTAGGGACTCACTCCATCAGCATCCCTGACTGTGAGATGGCTTGAGGCGTGCTCCTGTTCAGTAGCAGCAGAGTGCTCACTAAAACTGCACATTTCTGGTTCCCGGTCCCCAATGGGCATGGAAACTCCATTTTAGTAAGATCTTCAGGTGGTTCTGATACTAAGTGTTCTGAGATCCACAATTTTAGAAACTCCCACCAAAATAGGGTGCAAGCATCCTAGAAAATGACCACAGCAACCAATGGGAGTAAAGAGAAATGTCTGCAGGTACCTAATGAGAAAGGATTAAATTATGCTAATTTCTTTGCTAGTACTTCTTTACTGTTACTTCACATTTAATGTGATTTATATTTACTTCTCTTTTAATGACATCTAACTTATGAAGCATGTGAAATGAATAGTGTGTTTTATGTGTGATACATATACTGGAGGAATGCTCGTGTTCCACTGGGTCTGGTCACACAAACACACCTGTAATTCTAGTACTGGAGAGGCTGGCGCAGGAGGATCAAAAGTTCCAAACCAGTCTGGGCTATACGATGAGACCCTTGACTCAAAAAAAAAAAAAAAAGAGTAAAAACAAAGCCAAACAAAAAAAGAAATCACTGTTCCCCCGAGGTGGTTTGAATGATAATATTCCCCATAAGCTCATATGTTTGATTGCTTGGTCCCCAATTAGTGGAACTGTTTAGGAAGGGTTAGGAGGTGTGGCTTTGTGGGAGGAGCTATGTGACTATGGGTAGGGTTTGAGGTATCCAAAGCTAACATCAGGCCACCCCATCCTCTCCTCAGCCTGTAACTTGGGGATCAGAGAGATCTCAGATACTTCTCCAGTACCATACCTGCCTGCCACCATGTTTCCTGGCATGATAATGGGCCAGCCCTCTGAAACCGTAAATGTAAGCAAGCCCACAATTAAATGCTTTCTTCTATAAGCCGCCTTGGTCGTGGGGTCTCCTCACAGCCATAAAACAATAACTAAAACATCCCCCATTTTTATGTTTTGTTTTGTTTTTTTAATCAGGGAGTAGTTTAGACATTTTATTTGCTCTCATCCAACTTTAGAAATTAAGATGTATTGCCATTACCAAGACCGCCCCGCCATGCTTCTCTCACACTGCATATCCTCTAGCTAATGCAGCCAGCAAGTAAGTTTTTTTTTTTGGTTTGGTTTGGTTTTCTGTTTATTATTCACTATGTGTCATCTTAGGCTTGTTGCACATGGACGTTTACCTGAGGCAAGACATACTGCTTTACATGTCTCTTGACTCTGTATAAATAAAAGGTATCATCCAGCAACACCCTATCTGAAACTTGATTTCTGCTCCGTGCTGTCTTTTGATCCGTCTGTACTGATAGATGTAGCAGAGGCTTTGGCTATCTTGTCTGTTCCCTGGTTGTTTTATTTTGTGACATGAATATTTGTTTGTTGCTTTTTAAACTTATGTGTTTTACCTCCATGTATGGATGTGTACCGCATGCATACAGAGGCCAGAAGAAGGCAGTGGATCCACTGGAACTGCAGTTCCAGAGAGTTGTGACGTCATGTGGATGCTGGGATCTAAACCCTGCTCCTCTGCAAGACCAATCACTGCACTTAAGCACTGAGCCATCTCTCCAGTACCTGCATGGATCTGTGTGTTATTGCTCTTTGCCATTACAAAGGGAATACATAGCCCTGCATTGTCTTGCTGATTCAGTGCACCAACACAAAAATAAAATTAGCTTTCAAATCCTTAAAAACAACTTCGATAATACATACAAATAACTAAAATTAAACATCACAGACTGCTCCTTCCCCTGTCATGCATATACTCTGTGACTTCTGATTCCCTGTCTAATGGTTATTATTCTGGCTTCTCCCAGCTAAGATTTCCTGGCCTGTAGTCATGTCCCAATCTACCTTAGTCTAGCCCAGCTTCCTACTTTCTGTTGGCTTTCCAGGCTGTATGCCCTTCCTGGGCTCTCACCCGCAAACTCTGGAGGCATCTGGATCAGTTCAGAACACTCACCCCTCAAGCCCCACAAGCCCTTGAAGGACATTTAAGACAGATGTTCTTTTAAGTCCTGTATTTGTAGGCTGACGAGTTGAGAAGGCTGACATCATTTATACAGACTGTCCTAAAAATCTCTATTTCAGAGTCACCCACTTGGAGCCAGGCAGTAGTGGCAGAGGCAGGTGGATCTCTCTGAGGTCAAGGCCAGCCTGGTCTACAGATTGAGCTCCAGAATAGCCAAAGCTACACAGAGAAACCTTGTCTTGAAAACAATAACAAGAAACCAGACTCCACTCCGGAAAAACTCTAGTGCTGCAGTGGGCACAAAACACCACTGGTGCCCTGGACTGCTTGTAGGACACCTCTCCTTCCTGATTTCCGCAGCAGCCCCGAGAGATGGGTGTTGGCCTGAGAACTTGGCTGAGGTCATTTATCTAAGTGGTAGAACTTGGATTTGAAATCAGGGCTCCATGCCTGAGGTCCCCCTCCCCCGACCCCCATCCCTTAGTAAATCATAAATCTACAAACAATGGTTATTTCAGCCAGGTCACAATAGCCCATGGTGACCTAGAGTGGACACATCCCTCTCTCGCATCTAAACCAGTACACAGTCTGTGGATCCCAGTGAGAAAGTATGGAACCTTTTTTTTTTTTTTTTTTTTTTTAAGAAATGATAAAAGACTCTGTGACTGGGGCTGAAGAGATGTCTCATTGGTTAAGAGTACTGGTTGCTCTTGTAGAGGACCCGAGTTCAACTCTCCGCACCCACAGGGTGGCTCAAGACAGTGAGAGCAGGGCATTGAACGAAGCCCGGGGCCCATTCGTGGGTCACTTCAATGGAGACTGTGCACTGTTTCCTCAGCCATCACCCTGCACACCCTTTCCCTGGAGATCTTTCTTAGATGTCACTTCCTCTAAGAAGTTTCCCTTTTCTGCACCTTGCCCCAAACTGTACCAGCCCTTGGCTCTAGGCGTCAAGGTACTTGTGATAGCGTTTACCAGGCTGTACTGTATCACCCTTTTTATTGCCTACTGTCCACCACAACCAACACCCTTCGCACTAGGCCTAATGTTCTTTAAAGGCAGGGACTATGCTTCCCAGCTTTGCCATCCCCCACTTGACACTGGGTCATATTTCTCACCAAAAGGAAGAGTTTTGTGGCATGAAGTAGAGGAAACCCAGACTCACTAAGAAGATCAGTGAACCTCAGCTGGAAGGCAGGCAGAGACATTAGGGTGGGAGAAATGAAGGGAAGAAGCCTGGGGCGGGACAGAGTGCTAAGCAGAATAAGGAGCACCCTAACTCTTTGACTAGTCCAGAAAGGTCTAGCGTAGGCAGCCCACATCCTCCAGAACTGACGTGGGGCTCGGGGGTGCATGGGAACCTCCTGACATGTTTTTTCCCCCGAGGGACCCCACAGTGGCCTACAAAGTTTCTCCAGCCTTGGAAAGGAGGATCCCAAATCGACTCTCACATGATATTGGTGGTGTCTTCCTCTGAGTAGTTGACCAAGCTGCGTCTTGAGGCAAGCAGGAGACCTTTGGTAGGCATGGACCGGTTAAGAAACATGGAATTTGGACAGGCCTTTGGCAGTTGGTTGGCCACATTTGTGACATCAGGGGTTTCCTTCTTCGGTGCAGCGTCCTCCCCGCCCCCCGCTTTGCAGAACACCTCCGTTGCCATCTGATGTGGGTGGGATCAGCACTGTCGCCACTGTGTGGGACATCCAGCCAGCAGGAAGCAGCGAGAAACTGAGGCAGAGGTCCCAACTCTTAGTTTGTGTGAGCTGGGTGTGCAGTGAGCTGACTTCACAATCATCACGGAGTGTAACAATTAGGGGCCAGCCTCCCCTTGCTGTGAGGCTTGCTGTGCAGCTGGGCAGACCAAAAGCCCAGGTCAGGGGTGGGGCTGAGCCAAGAAACAAATGTCATGGCCCCTTCCAACACACAGAGCCCCTTCTAAGTGACATTTGCTTGTTTGTTTTTCAAGACAGGGTTTCTCTGTGTAGCCTTGGCTGTCCTGGACTCGATTTGTAAACCAGGCCAGTCTCGAACTCAGAAGGGTCTGCCTGTCTCTGCTTCCCAAAGTGCTTGGTTTAAAGGCATGTGCTCTAGGCCACATTGTGGTCACAGCTGCTCTGTCCTCCTCTAAGGACTTCAAGAGGCTTAACACCTGTGCCTTTCAGAGCTGTCCCAGAAAGAGGAGCAGGCTAGTGACAGAGAGAACACCTCCTGGCCTGAGCTAAAGAACCTTTGAAGAGGAAGGCTTTGCCTACTGATGCATCTAAACAGCAAATCCCACTGAAGCCAGTAGCATAAGCGCAGAGAAAGCTGACCTTGGGTTGTAGCTCACAGAGTAGCTGCTTTTAGTGCTAGAACTCCAAATGCCTTGAAAGACTGAGAGACAATGGTGAACATGGGAAGATAGTTCTAAAAACAGGCCCAACTTCTCTGCTATGAAGAAAGCCAGAGTAAAGTAGAAACACACCCACAACTTCCGGGGAGAGAAGGGAGCAAGTTCTGTGACACTGGCTTTACAGTTGGATGTGGACTCAGTTCTGTGCTTACTAGCTGTGTAACTCAGAAAATAACAATCTTTGAGCTCCAACTCCTTCAACTACAAAGTACAGAAATAGAACCTCACACATGGGCGTGAGAAGCTTCCTTATGTTGGCATACTTTTTAAAAACTTATTTACATTTATCTTTTTCTCCCTACTGCACCCTAATCCCTTCCAATACCCCAACACCAAGAGTTAGTGGGAGAGGGGCTACAGTTCTCTTAGCTGCATCCTGCTGGTCAGGGTCATCAGGTTCCTTGGAGCCAGTCCAATCCTCATTTCAGATCAACTTCTTGTCTCACAACAGCAACCAGGAGTAGCAAGGGGGAAGCAGGAGGAGCCTTGTTCTTTCTCCTAGTCCACACTATCTGGGCTCTTGCATTTATTCTCTCCAGAGTCCTCAGATTTAAACTATCTGCAGCTGGCAAAGAGCTCCTCTCAGAGCCCTCATGAGGCAAGTAGTAGTAGTCTGCTGCTGTGGACTATGTGAATCAGTGCCACATCCCACACCTGGGACCCAAACAAAACCATGCTTCTATCCACAACAGCCTTCTTTCTTCACTGGATGTAGTAAAGAACATTTCAAAATAGCAAACTGTATTTTATATGTTCTACCTCATGTTCCGCTACTCCCATTGAAACCTTTGGAATATATGGGGCTAAAGAAATGGCTTAGCGGGGCTGGAGAGATGGCTCAGAGGTTCAGAGCACTGGCTGCTCTTCCAGAGGTCCTGAGTTCAATTCCCAGCAACCACATGGTGGTTCAAAACCATCTATAATGAGATCTGGTGCCCTCTTCTGGCGTGCAGGTGTACGTGCAGGCAGAACATTGTATACATAATAAATAAACCTCTTTTAAAAAAAAGAAAGAAATGGCTTAGCTCTTAAGAGCACTGGCTACTCTTCCAGAGTACTGAGGTTCAGATCCCAGCACCCACATGGTGGCTTACGACCATCTGCAATTCCTAGTCCAGGGGAATCTGACCTCCTTTTCTGGCCATCTTGGGTACCAAGCATGCAGGCAATTCCTATATATGTGAACATCAAACAAAAACAATCTTTTTTTTTTTTTTTTTTTTTTTTTTTAATACAGGGGCACATGCGTCCTCTGAGAACTTCGCTGGAACTCAGCTTGATTATACAATCTCTAATCGTCTGAATTGACTTCCTTTTCATTGTCTCCCTAACATGAATGCTACTAGAAGGGGGAGGAGATGTTGTTTGTGCTTCAGTAAAGTACTGAGGTAGGGTGAGAGTGCCCCCTAGCGTTGCAAGTAGAGGCTGGTACACAAGCAACTCACTGGAAGCGTGTGTGTGTGTGTGTGTGTGTGTGTGTGTGTGTGTGTGTGTGTGTGTGGTGTTTCTCTCTCTCTCTCTCTCTCTCTCTCTCTCCTCTCTTCTCTTCCTCTCTCTGTCTCCGTGTGTGTGTGTGTGTGTGTGTGTGTATACACGCGCGCGCGCGCGCGACCAGTATCCAGTGCGCGCAATCAGTACCCAGGGCAGCTCTGTGGCTGGCCGGTGGTTGGCGTGAGTCGCAAGGCCGTCGCGTTTGCCCATTTGGTCAGCAGATGGCGCTGCAGGCCTGGCCTACAAAAGACGCTCCAGTCGCGGAACCCGGAAGCGTCCGTCGGGAGGGGGCGGGCCCAGGGCGCTAAGAGTCCTGTGAGTTGGGAAGGGATAGAGTCCCTCACCCCGACCTGCACCTTCTTCCCGCTCTCTCCTCCGGTGCTAGCGCGCCAGGATCCTTTCCCGAAGTGGAACCAAGGGACGCCCGGAGTTGGGGGACTCTGCGAGCGCCCACGTGACACACAACCCTCAAGGCGTCCTAGGTTTGCAGGGAACATGGGCAAGCTCAGGGCAGGGCTGTGCCCGGGCCTCTCCGAGGAGATCGTCCGGCTTCTGAGGGACCGAAAAATCAAGACAGGTGACCGCGTGGGCGTGTAGCACACATCATGGGCACGACCTTGAGGGTCGGCGCCACGGTCTTGGCACACGTGCGGGGGCACTTCGCTCTACCGAGAGCTCCACACTCCTCCTCTGACCTCCTGGGGAGGCTGGGTTCGTGGGAGCCAAGCCAGAGGCAAAGGACTCTACTGTGTGCTGGGCTCCTCGCAGGGTCCTGCATCAGGGCCTGAGTACTCCGAGATCCGAAGTAGAGTTAAGACCCTATTTCACAGCAGAGGAAACGGCTAGGCGTGGCAAGGCTAAGCCATTCCTGTTGCCAATCAGGTGCTCTTGGTCTCTTTCCAGTGGCGGACCTGGCGGCTGCTGACCTAGAGGAGGTAGCTCAGAAGTGTGGCTTGTCTTACAAGGTGATGCAAGCGCCATCCCAACCTGTCTTCCAGAGCGGATCCCCAGGCTGCAGGATCAGAGTTTCCCGGAGTAGATGGGGAAGGGGGCACTAGATCCGGAGTGCTTTACGGTTGCTTGGGGGGGTGGGGGGGGCGGGACAAATGCTTTTCAGGGCTCTGGGCAGTCTGGCCGCTCTGGAGCCTGAGTGTCCTCCCTATTGGCAGGCCCTGGTTGCCTTGAGGAGGGTGTTGCTGGCGCAGTTCTCCGCTTTCCCCTTAAACGGCGCAGATCTCTATGAGGAGCTGAAGACTTCCACTGCCATCCTGTCCACAGGCATTGGAAGGTTTGTATGCCTAGCTGGGCAAGAGGATGAAAGCAGAGCTTTTCCATACCGAGACTATAGAGGGCAGGGCTGGCGAGGGTAGTCTGAAGCTGTCAGGGAACTTACGGGTATCTGGACCCTGAGGGTTTTTTTTCTTAGAGTGACCCGCGGGGGTTCCTAGCCTCAGCACTGTTGATACTTGGCCAGGGTGGTGGTGGCGGCAGTAAATATTTGCTTGGGTTAGGGCTACCCTGTGCGTTCAGAGACGTTTAGCAGCATTCCTGGCCTTTACTCATCGGATGCCAAGCTCACCTCTCCTGCCCCCAGTGATAACAATCAAAAATGTCTCCAGATACTATTCAGTGTCTCCTGGGAGCCAACTTTTCCCAGTGAAGAGACACTAGGCTATGACACAAGATGTCACTAATATCCCATTATTTAGTAGAGTCCATGATACTTCAGGATAAGACAACTGAGACCAGGGCAGGATTGAGACTTCCGGGGAGTCTGTACCTAGGCTCTGACCCTAGGATATTGGCTCTCAACCTTCATAAGCTGCGACCCTTTAATACAGTCCCTCCTGTGGTGACCCCCAACCATAAAATTATTTTCGTTGTACTTCGTAACTGGAATGTTGCCACTGTTATAGATCATAATGTAAATACCTGATATGCAGGATTTCTGATATGCAACCCCTGTGAAAGGGTTGTTCAATCCCAAAGGGGTCACGACCCCGGGGTTGAGAAATGGTGCCCTAGGTTATAGATGAGAGATTTTTCGGCTCTCTTGTGGTTAGCCTAAGAGGAGGAGGCGGCAGAGGTGAGCCCAGAGCCTGTTGCCTCTGCCTTTGCAGGCAGCTGCAGGAAGCCGTGCACTCTCACTGAAAAGAGCGGTTAGGTTGTGCCCTGTTGTTTGGGTTGGGAAAGACTTGGAAGACGACTGGCGTTTTCTGGCCAAGCGAGCCTGACCCCTCTCCTGGCCTGTCTGTGCGGAGTTTGATGAATAACACTGCCATCACAAAGGTCTCTGGATTGGTCTGGCCCTTGCTGTTTCCAGAACACATTCTCTTGGCAAGGTCCGCACAGTCTAGTGCTTGCTCTCGCTGGTTGGGGGTCTGTGTTTGTAATCCATCAAACATTGGCCGAGTGCCTACTGGGTGCCAGGCACATGCAGATGCTATCTGTAGGAGTGAGGCTCAGTATCTTAAGCATGGTGGTCAGTGTATATGGGAGAATTGTGAGTACAGCAAGGAGGCACTTTGGCTTTGGGGCCCAGGGGGCTTATAAAACCAGCACACACAGAAGGAGCAGTGAGAGGGCACGCTGCGGTCATCAGTGCAGGAAGTGGCTCAGAGTGGCACGGGTAGCCTTGACATTGGCAGACCAACCACTGAGGTTGCCCTGAATGCTCACCTCGACGCCGGCGCCATGCTCAGCATTTCATGGCATGCATTTCATTTGCCCTTCACAACCCCAGATGAGAGCGCACCGGCTTTTGAAATCATTATTGCGTATGTGAAGAAATGGGGACTCCGGGTCAGGGACCATCTCAGGATCCTGCTGCTGTTAGATGGTAGATTGGATACATGGAGGCGAGAGGCCCCGTGAAAGCATTTGTAGGTCGTTGGGGTGGAGCTGTGCAGGATGGCCAGGCCAGCTAGGGGAGGCCAAGCTGGGATCTGGTGGTGCTGGTTTGGGTTGCTTAAGTCTGATCCAGGGTTTGTGAGGGTGGAAGACGTGTTGAAGGTGAGACGTGGCCAGAGGCTTACTGTGAGGTGAGGTGTAGGTCTGAAGACTCAAAGGCGGCTTGCTAGGTGTTCAGCCTTCCTCGCAGTGTGCTGTGCCTATTGAACCTCTGGAGATGAGGCTATAATTAAAGCTATCGAAACCCGTGATTAACACACATAAAACCGTTAAATAGGGTCCTCTTGGAGTACTGAGGCGCAGTCTTTGCAGGCCAGCGGAGCATGCAGCACACCTCAGGAAGCCACTGTAGATGGGTTAGTGTGGTTAGGCCTTGCGAGCCAGGGCTTTGGTCTGTTCCCCTCTGTGGGAATAACCGTCTTAAGGAAACAGGAAGCAAGGTGTCTGGATGAATGACTGGGAGAATAACTGATGGGAAGTTCGGTGGAAAAGCTGGGGGGAATCTCAGAAACCCCTGCATCGTAAGCAGTCCTGGCTGGAGCCCCTCTACGTACTGCTGTGCTCAGAGGATATGTATTGGTAGGTTGCCCTGCTCCATCCAGAACCAGTGGGAAGAGTCAGGGGTGGAAACACCCGTGGGAGGTTGTCTAAGAGGTGGGTTTGGAAGTACCTCATGCAGGTGGAGCGTCTTAGCCCAGTATGTGGTAGGTTTTGTTTCTGTTTTAAGATTTTTATTTTAGTTGGCCATGATGGTGCATACCTTTAATCCCAGCATGTGGGAGACAGAGGCAGGTGGATCTCTGTGAGTTCGAGGACAGCCTGGTCTACAGAGTGAGTTCTAGGACTGCCAGAGCTACATAATAGAGAGACCTTATCTCAAAATTGTTTATTTGTGTGTGTGTGTGTGTGTGTATGTCCATTGTATGTATAGATGCTCAGGAAAGCCAGAAGAGGAAGTTGGATTCCATGGTGTTGGAATTATAGGGGACACTGAGGCATCTGATGTGGTATCGGGAACCAAATAAAGTCTTCTACAAGAGCAGCAATTCGACTTAGCTGCTGAGCCATCTCCAGCCCGACCCCCCTGCGATGGGTTCTTTGGTTGGTTGGCTTTGGTGTTTTGAGACAGGGTTGCTTTGTGTAGTCCTGGCTGCCCTGGAACTCACTTTGTAAGAGAGGCTGGCCTTGAACTCAGAGGTCCGCCTGCCTCTGCCTCACGAGTGCTGGGATTAAAGGTGTGCACCACCACCTGGTATGTGATGGGTTAAATGGAGTCAAAACCCAGTGATTCAGCAGGTTTGTAATCCCAGCAGAGGGAGGCAGAGGCAGGGGGATCCCTGTGAGTTTGAGGCCAGCCTGGTCTACAAAGGGAGTCCAGGACAGCCAAAAGAAACCCTATTTTGGAAAACAAACAAACAAACAAACAAACAAACAGGAAACAGTGATTCATTCTTCCCTGTGACTACTTGGGAAGTGTAAAATGAAATACTTCTAGAACACCTATTTAATCAATCAAGAACAATGTTCCGCACAATTTTGTCTGCAGACTGGAGTCACCTGGGGAACTTTTTTTTTTTTTTACACAGAGTTTCACTGTGTAGCCTTAGCTGTCCTGGACTCTGTAGATCAGGCTGCCCTCAAACTCACTTTGATCCGCTGCCTGTGCCTCTCTGGCTTACTGCGGGAACTTTTAAAGACCCTTTAAGGCTAACTCTTCAACCAGATGAGCATGTCCCAAAGGAAGGGACACAAGTAGCCTTTAGTATTTTGGGGTGCTCCAAGACAAGCTGGGGAATTGTTATTGTAAGTTGCTTTTAGAAAACTCCTCTGAAAGCTGAGTGAGGGGGGTGTGTGCCTGGTCCCAACTGCTAAGAGGCCAAGCTAGGAAGATCATCTGGTTCAATGGCAGCCTCCTGTCATAAAAAAGAAGAGAAAGGAAAAAACAGAAAGACCTTGTAACGTGCTGGCAGAATTGATTCTCAAACTTGAGCACGCATTAAAATCATTCAGAATTCTCTGTCTTTCCCTCTCTCCCTCCCCTTCGCCCTGTCTTCCTGTGTGTTCGTGTGTGTGTGTGTGTGTGTGTGTTCATGCACATATACCCATGGACACCAGAGGACACCAGATGTTATTACTTGGGGGCCATCTTGTTTGTTTTATTTTTTTATCTTCATGCCTATGAGTGTTTTTGACTGTGTACCACACACATTCCTGGTGCCCTTGGAAGTCAGACTTCCCTGTGCCTGGAGTTACAGATGGTTCTAAGCTGCCATGTGGGTATTAGAGATTGAACCCTGGTCCTCTTAACCTCTGAACCATCTCTCCATTCTGGCCAGTGAGCCTCAGGGACTCACTTGTGGCTGCATTCCCACCACTGGAATCTTAAATGCACACCACCAGAGCTGGATTTTTTTTTCTTTTTTAGAGATCACTTTAGTTTTTAGTTTTCAGCATGTATATGCTTCTGTGTATGAGCGTGTGCACATGGATGCAGGGGCCTGTGGAGACCAGACGTATCAGATGCCCTGGGTAGTTAGTTGTAAGCCAAGAGCTCAGTCACATCTCTAGCCTCTCACACTCAGCTTTTTGTGTTGGTTCTAGGGATCAAGGCAAGGTCTCCACGCTTGCAAGGCAAGCAGTTTTATGGACTGAGCCATCATGCCAGCCCCCACCTGGAAGGAGGTCTTAAACTTCAGAAGCAGGCTCTAACTCTAGACTCTCTGGCTGTGTGCCTGATGTAGTTGATCTGGGCCCTACCCTGGGAGTGCCTGGTGAGAGGAACTGCTGTGATGGAACCAGGCTGGAGCCCTACTAAATAGATGCTTATTAAACAGACACCCTATGTCCAAGAAGCCACAGGGCAAGTGGAAGGATTAGAGCATTTTGATTGGCAGGAGCCTATGGCCCCTGGAGTTAAAATAGGTGGAGTGGGGATTGGTTGCTGCTTGCCATGAGCTGATAGGTCATGGTTGGCCATCAAGAACCTCTTCAGAGGCCTGTGGTCCATGATTGTTATTGCCTAGTTAGGGAGGGAGGTGCATGTCCCAGCTGGGACACAGACATTTCAGCCCCTGTCCTGGACATAGCATGGAGGGTAATGACCTGTTTCATGGTGGTTTTGGGGCAGAACTGGGATTAGGAAGTGGCCATGTTTTGAGGTTCATCTCAAGGCTTCTACAGCCAGAGTTTTCACAGTCTGAGCCACTGTTCTTTTCATTTCTTCAGCAATATTTACTGTGTACCTTCAGGGTTTTTGGCTTTGTGCTAATGCTGGGGACACAACAGGGATAAAAGCCCTGTCTTTGCCCCAGGGTGTTCCTAGGAGATGAGGGAGGCAGACAAAAACAAGCAAATAAAAAATAATTACAAACTCCCAGAACTAATAAGCGAGTTTAGCAAGGTCTGGGGATACAATATCAACACATAAAAATCAATTGCATTTCTCTGAACTCACAATGAACATGTGAAAACTGAAATTAAAAACACAGCGCCATTTGCTGTTGCATCTCAGAAAATGAAATGCTTAGGTCTAAATCTGACAAAGCCCGTGTAGAATTTGTATGCTGAAAATTAAAAACGCTGATGAAGAATATCAAAGGTGAACCAAACAAATGCAGAGACTTTCCATGTTCATTGATTACAAGATTCTACATTAGTGAATGTCAACTTTCCCCCTACCTCTTTTTTTTTTTTTTTTTAACTTGATACTAGAGGTTGAACTCAGGGCTTTGCATATGCTAAGCAAGCACGCTTCCATTAAAGCTATTTCTCTCTCTCTCTCTCTCTCTCTGGGTCTCATTATGTTGCCTTTAACCTTACAGAGGTCAGGACTTTGGATGTTGGGATCAAATTTATCTGCAGGTTTAATACGGTTTCTCCTCTCCTCTCTTCCCCCTCACTCTCATCTGCCTCAGCCTTGACAATCTACTTGATGCTGGCCTCTATACTGGGGAGGTGACTGAATTTGTAGGTGGCCCAGGCAGTGGCAAAACCCAGGTACCCATGGGAGAGCTTCGGGAGGTGGGCATGTTGTCCTGGATTCCTTGGTGTGTGTGGGGGTGTTCTTGAGGGTGTCCCCATGGGTTGTGAGGTCAGAACAGACAAGATGGGTGCCAAGAATGGGCTTTAAGTGCATGCTGTTGGAATCTGGTCAGAATGTGGTAGAGAGCTGCCTGGTGGCCCCCACCTCGTCCCCAGGGGCTTAGGTTTACCCAGCACCCCACCTTGTCTCTGAAGGTGTGTCTCTGTGTGGCTGCAAATGTAGCCCACAGCCTGCAGCAGAATGTTCTGTACATTGATACCAATGGAGGAATGACAGCGTCCCGCCTCCTCCAGCTGCTACAGGCTAGAACCCAAGAACAGAAGAAACAGGTAAGGGGCAGGATGGCTGGGTTCCTTTCAAATTCTGATTCGGGGAGACCTTGTGACCCTTTACACTGTAAGAATTTATGACATCTGTGGGAATCATCATTTCTTGCTTTAAAACATGAGGGTCTTCTGCATTCCTAAAGCTGCTCAGCTCATGTTCATGTCATCATCCCATCATTATCCCAGCTAGGATGCCACCCACACTGATTCTTCAGGAACTTCCAAGTCCTTGTATACCGTAAATCAAAGCTGGCAAGCACTTAGCATCTGTGTTTCCAGCCCATTTCTTGCCCATGGCAGGCATCACTAATCAATCATATCTGCCCTTCCTGCTGAATGCTGAATGTCTCACCCAGGTGGTCACCACTGTGAGATCGGCCCATTAGGCAAAATCCATTTGCCATTGTGGATGCCAGCACTGTGTCTAAGTGCCTCCTTGCCCTTTCAGCTCTGTGATTACTCTTTTTTTTTTTTAAAAAAAAAAAAATAATTTATTTTGTTTTATGTACATTGGTGTTTTGACTGCATATATATCTGTGTGAGGGTGTTGGATCCCCTGGAACAGGAGTTACAGTTATGAGCTGCCATGTGGGTGCTGGGGATTGAACTCCCGTCCAAGAGCATTCAGTGCTCTTAACCGCTGAGCCATCTCTCTAGGTCCCCTGTGATTACTCTTTATCCCTTTCCTGGACCCCCTCTCCAAGGCCCTGCTTCTCTTTCCCACCTCTCAGGCAGGAGCTCTCCAGAGGATACACGTGGTGCATGCATTTGACATCTTCCAGTTGCTGGATTTGCTACAGGACCTTCGGGGCACCATGGCCCAGCAGGTGAGCCTGCTGATCTGCCTGTTTCTGCTTTACCCAGTTGGCCAGGTGTTAGCTGTATGCGGGCAGGTGTCCCAGTGTCACAGCTCCAGCTGTGTTTGCACTTGCGCACCCCACCCCCAGGTGGAATTTCTCCGTGCTTAATTCATGTGCTCCATTGTTTAGAGGCTCACCAGCCCTGTACAACAGGACCTGGGAGGTTGAAGCAGGTGGATCTCTTTGGCTCTCATAGAGATCCGCCTGCTTCTGCCTCCCTGAGTGCTAGGATTAAACTCTGTAGCCTTATCTCTCTCCTATCACCTATACTTGGGTTCCAGGAATCACACTCTGTGGTTATCAGGCTTGTGCAACAGCCTTTATCTGCTGAGCCATCCCAGTGGCCTCCACCCTCCATTAGAGGAGCCTGGCCCAGGCATCCCCTAGAGGTCATTGGCTCATGATGCCTGCTCTTCCCCATCCCTACAGGCTGCAGCTTCTTCAGGCACTGTGAAGGTTGTGATTGTGGATTCTGTCACTGCAGTGGTGGCCCCACTTCTGGGAGGTGAGCAGAGGGAAGGTAAGTAGTGGAGGAGAGCCTGGAGACAGGGTGGGGACTTCACCTTCCAGCCCTGTCCTTGGCACTCTGCCGCTTCTCCTGTCTGCTCCTCTCCCAGGCCTGGCCTTGATGATGCAGCTGGCCCGAGAGCTCAAGATCCTGGCCCGGGACCTGGGTGTGGCGTTGGTGGTGAGGAGGCTTTGCCATGAACATAACTTCTGGTTGTAGCTAGCTCTTTTTCTCTTAAATGTCAGCTGGGGGTGGAAGTGGGGCTGGAAAGATGGCTCAGTGGTTAAGAGTATTGGCTGCTCTTCTTAGAGGATCCTGATTCAATTCCCAGCACCCACAAGGCAGCTCACAACTGTCTGGTTTGTAACTCAAATTCCAATGGATTCAACTCCCTCACACAGATATATATGCATGCCAAACACCAAATGTACATAAAAATAAAGAAATTTTTTAAAATGTCAGCTGGGGCCGGTCAGGGTGGTGCATGCCATTAATCCCAGTACTTGGGAGGGAGAGGCAGGCAGATCTCTGTGAGTTCAAGGCCAGCCTGGCCAACAGAGCAAGTTCCAGGACTGCCGGGGCTACACAGAGAAATTCTGTTGGGTGGGGGAGGAGTGGGCTGGCCAAGATGGTTCAGTGGGTATAAAGGCATCTGTCACATGAGCCTAAATAAGTTTGACCCCAAGAGCCCACATAAAGGTAGAAGAAGAGAACCAACTCTACAAAGCTCTCCAACCATCGCAAGTGTGTCTACATACATGCATACATACATGCATATAGTGCTGGAACTAAAGGCTTATGCCACCATGCCCAGCTTTCCTGATTTTTTTCAAATGCACTCCATCTCCTGGCTTCTGGGTGTTTGAGTACTTGAGTGCCAGGTTCTGGTATGGATAGTAGGGAAGGAGCCATAGTTGCTAGCCTCAGGAGGCTGTGGCTTGGGTGTCTCTGGCTGGCCTGCTTTAAGACTGGTTCCAGATTGGGGCTCCTTGTCCAAACCTTCCTTCTCCTCTCACTTCCCCATACACACTCCAGACACAAAGGGCTGGGTGCACTAGGCTAGGATGCCTGTAGCACGCACAAGTCCAGCACTGGTTCCACTTAGGAAAGAGTGAATAAAGGTGCTGCATGTACCATAATTGGTGTTAGGCCTAAAGCATCGAGGCTTTGTGGGAAACTAGGTGCAGACCAGGAGCCCTGAATTGTAGCTCTAGATTCAACTATAAGTTATAACACTGGGAAGAGCCATAAGTCAGATTTCCTCTCTGTAAAGGAAGCTTTAGGAACAGGTGTCCTTGGCACTACTATCATGGATCTGGGCCCCTTTCTGCAGGTGACCAATCACTTGACCAGAGACAGAGATGGTAAAGGGTTCAAACCTGCTCTGGGACGCTCCTGGAGCTTTGTGCCCAGTACCCGGATTCTCCTGGATGTCATTGAAGAGGCTGGCACATCAGGTAGTAGCCAGCGCACAGTGTGTCTGACCAAGTCTCCCCGCCAGGTGAGCCAACCCAGGTGTCATCAGGGATCTTGGGTCCTGGAGAGGGTGGTTTTCTTGCATCTCATTGAAGGATTCTTCAATGCTGAAATCCTGAAACAAAAGCCAAATTTTGCAAGCTTAAGCAAGCTTAGATTGCTTAATTCTACCTACCCCTCTCTCTCCTATCTCTTCTTCCAGCCAACAGGTCTGCAGGAGGTGATAGACATTGGGACACTGGGGACTGAGGAGCAGAGCCCGGAATTGCCTGGCAAACAGACATGATGCTGTTGACCGGGAAAGAAGAGACCGCCTCAAGGCCCTTACAGCTTTCCTTCCCAGTTAGCTGTGGTTCGCTGCCACACGGGACCTGACAGTGCAGAGTCATCAGAAGACAAGCCTCAGTTTCCTCAGCTTTACTGTGTGGATCTTATGGAGCCACTGCCAGAGTATGCTGCAGTGGGAGGGGCTTAGAAGTCTATCCCGGTCTCAAGTTTTCTTCCTTTCTGTCCACCGTACATTTCCAGTGGGGGCTGAGGTCACCCTCGCTTGGGACATCTCTGAAGAAACACAGTAGTGACTGGATGAACCGCTTCCTGGTCCTGTCACCATTGGATCCTAAACCCATTCCCTACACAGTGATTGCGCCAGGAAGCCTTTGCTTCTCCAACCCCCATTTATTTTGGCCTCTGTTTTTCCACTTGCAAGATGGTGCTGCTTTTGTCTGAGTTACTCAGTAGAAACAACCTCAGAAATGTAAACCTCTTTATATATGTCCTACTCTTATAACTGTATAGAAAGGAGGCCCTCTGAACCCTAGAGCCCCCTGGGGGGAAAGGCAGTGGGGCTCCCCCAGAAGGAGCATCCTTCCCTGCTTGCTGCCTGGGTCTCACACACCTGCCTACCTCACCCTGAGAGGGAAGATCATGGCTCCATGTTGTCCCAGGGATATAATTTACCGGGGAGGAAGGATATGACCTGCTCCTAGTGAACCAGACACTTGTTTCATATGCACGGTGCCCTGTGGGGCCCTTCCTCAGTATAGAGTAACCGGAGGTGCTGAACTGTGGCCTAACCCATAAACAGACAGACGGGAATTTGCACAGTAAATAGAGCCAGCTGGGAAAATTGATGCCGGCGTAAATAATACATGGCAAATCTAGTCTTTTATACAGAAATTCATTGCTGGTGGCTCTAAGATGCAGTATAATTACACCTCTCGTCCTGCCAGCTGTACCACAGCCTCGTGTCTTAGTGAATAAAATAACCCCCTGTCTATTACCAAGACTGTGGTCATCCATCTGAGAGTCATAACTCTGGCCGAAAGGGGAAGATGGTACCAGGGAATGGGAAATAAAAGGCAGAGTCAAGAAATTATCAGGATTGTTTACGGACCACAGTTTTTACAGGGAGGTCACACTTGGTTAGCCTGCTCTATAATTAGCTTCGTATGATTTGATGTGTTACAAGATGTGATATTCGGGGCCAGTGAGATGGCTTAGCAGATAAAGGTGCTTGTCACCAAGCCTGACAACCTGAGTCTAATCCCCGGGTCCCACATAATGGAAAGAGGAACGTGACTTTGCAAGTTGTCCTCTGGCTTCTATACCTTCTGTGTCATAGCTATGCCCCTTCACACATGATAATAAAAATGGAATAGTTAAAAATACATGGCATTTATAGGTGATGGGTAGAGGGATAGAAGCAAGTCTGAGGAATGGAGAGCGGATGACGAAGTGGCGTGGGTGTGTCTTTGTGAATGACAGTGTGGGTGAACTTAAACCCTCTTACTTTCTTCTGTGGAAGACTCCAGGAGACAACAGCCTTTGCTATCTACCCCATGGCGGGTCGGTTGGCAGGTTTCTGCCGCTCTACTGAGAAACAATACATTAAGCTGGGAAAGTAAATAACGACTACCCTTGTTGCGCTTTGTGCATCATGATCTCATAGCAGACAGCACCAATTAGTCAAGGGCACTCTTGTGGAGTGTTATATAGTTTCTTTTCGGTTTTCCGAGACAGGGTGTCTCTGCGTAGCCTTGGCTGTCCTGGAACTCACTCTACCAGGCTGGCCTCAAACTCAGAGACCTGCCTGCATCTCCCTGCCCTTTCTTAGGGCAGCTTTGCAGGGAACCACTATCAGTTGGGCGCAGGCTGGGTGGATTGTTTTTTGGTTTTTGGTTTTTTTTTTTTCCTTGCAGTCAGATAATTCAAACCCAGGACCTTACATGTTCTAAGCAATGGCTCCACCGCTGAGAGAAACCCCCCACTTCCCATCTCATCACTTTGTTAAAGAAAGAACCAAAGGCTTTGAGTAGAAACATGACAATTCCAGTGGTGGAACTAAAGGCCTCCTGTGTCTGCTCTTCTCTTGCTCTTTTCACATTGTGGAAGCTTGTGAATTAGTGGGCTTTAATGCATTTTTAGAGATATCAAAGGGTGGCCTAGGAGTGTACATCAGTGGCAGAGTGGCCCTAGATTTGATCCAGAGTCCTAGAAAAGAGTAAAAGCAATATATAAGATTGTTTCCCTCTTGATCTAGATATTCAGTAGGTCCCCAGTCTTTTCTCTTTTTTTCACCTTGATTCAAGGAGGTCATTGTATGTCTACTTGAAGTTAGAAAAAAAATACCTACTGTGTGCTAGCATATGTCTACTTGAAGTTAGAAAAAATACCTACTGTGTGCCAGCACTTGGTGGTCTCAAGTCAGAAGGCTGATCTAAGACAGACAAAAAGAAAAAAAAATCCATGTATTATTGAGGCTGCTCTTCCTAGCAAGTAATAAAATCCTGGTGAGGCATCAGTGATAAAGAAGGTCGCTCATCCCTGATAATGTGATGCCAAGGTTGGTTGATGCAATGGTCCAATGCGGAGAAGCAGAGGGTCCTTCCTTCTCTGTCCCTGCTTCTCTGTGCTGCTTTTGTCTTCAAACTTGTTGCCCTCATTAAAACCTGGCTGTAGCCACTCTGAACAGTAATCCAAACATGGATCATCTACGGGTAGGAAAGGGATCATCTCCTGTGTCCCTTGAAGAACAAGGAAAACTCAGAGCTTCCCAATGTCTGTATCTCACTGGTGCAGAATTGCCTCGTGCACTGTTTAATTCAGTAGTGCAAAAGGAAACGGTGCCTCAGTGTTAGGCTTAGGCGAACCAAGAAACAGCTATGGGCTTAGGGCTCAGGCTTAGCTTGTTTGAGGCACCTGCTGTGGTCTTATTAGACACGAAGTGTATGGAGGAATTAGACGGTGGGTGGGCTTGTGTGTGTGCTCAGTACCTCAGCACCACACTCACTGTGTAGGACAAGCTGAGTGGTGCTGGGGATCATTTCATCTGACAGACTAAATGGAGCTCATTGAGGTTTTAGGACATCTGTCTATTAAATGACAGCATGGGATTCCAGACTTTCTTTTTTTTAACCTCTCGTTGCCTTCAGCTGTAAATACGTAAATATTTTAACAAAATTTTTTTTTGTATTTTGCCCCAGCAGCGGAGGCTGCACATCCCAACCCCTTTCAGCTGAGCTCACCATAAAAAGCTAGATCAAAGATCCACTTCATCCACTTCATCCGCTCTTTCTGATCTCCCCCAGGGAAGACAGAATGACAAACACTCCAGAGACTGCAGATACCGTGTGTGTGTGAAAGAGAGCTGAAGGGTTAGAGGGGAACGAAGCTGAATGAAAACCAGCAGGCTCCATGCATGCCTGAGACGTGAGCAGGAGGAGATAAGGGCTTTAGATGCATGCGGAGCCTGCCAGGCTTTCACTTTATCCTGGCATGGAGGTGCCTGGGTAGAGTTTCAGCTGTCCAGTTCTCTGTGTTGGTGATGTGTACAGCTGAGATTAGAATGAGGCACAGTATTCCCTATAAATGTGCTACATATATGTGTGTACACATTGTACATCACATTGTGGTTTGAATAAGAATGGCCCCCGGAGGCTCATATGTTTGAAGGCTTGGTCGTTAGGGAGTGGCACTGCTTGAGAGAGATCAGAAGGTGTGGCGTTGTTGGAAGAAGTGTGTCACTGGGGGTGGGCTTTTGAAAGTTCAAAGCCAGGTGAAGCTTTTCTCTCTTCTCACTGCCTGTGTGCCACCATCCTCCCTGCCATGATGATGATGATGATGATGATGATGGACTAAACCTCTGAAACTGTAAGCCAGCCCCAATTAAATGTTTTCCTTTATAAGAGTTGCCTTGGTCGTGGTATCTCTTCCCAGCAATAGAAGAGCGGCCAAGACATACATACATCCATATATACATACACACACTCAGATACACACATAATTTTTTTTTAGTTTTTTTGTTTTGTTTTGTTGAGGAAGGGTGTCTGACCCAGTGAGACCTTGAACTGCCAATTTTTCTGCTTTAGCCTCCAGAGTACTGGGGTTAGAGGCCTGTGCCAACTCAACTGGCTTTTTGTTTGCTTGTTTTATTCATTTTATTTTTTTAAAAAAGATTTCTTTCTGAGCCGGGCATGGTGGTGCACGCCTGTAATCCCAGCCTGTAATCTGGGAGGCAGAGGCAGGCAGATTTCTGTGAGTTCAAGGCTAACCTGGTCTACAAAATGAGTCCAGGACATCCAAGGCTACACAGAGAAACCCTGTGGGGGGGGGCGGGGGGAAGAAGGACTTATTTATTTTGTGTATATGAATGTTTTGTCGGCATGTGAATAGTGTACCATATGTGTGCCTGTGCCTGTGGAGGTCAGAAGCAGGTGCTGAGTCCCCTGGAACTGGAGTTAAGGATAGTTGTGAACCACCGTGTAGGTGCTGAAAACTAAACCCAGCTGTGCTGCAAGATCAACAAGCACTCTTAATTGCCAAGCCATCTCTCCAGTGTCTTGTTTTCGATGAGAGTAAGGTATATTATCAGTCAGGTGTTGTTCGGTTGCAGAGAACTGTCTAGCATGTCTAAGGTCCTGGGTTTGATTGCCAGTATACCAGCTCTGCACACGCACACAAACACATTCGCCATCAATGCTTCTCTTTCTGTAAAGGAGTAGGATTTTTAGCCTCTCAACGCACTGATCTTACCTCTTTTCTCGCTATTGACACTAGAGGAAGAACTTGGCTCTTTAAGCCTTAGTTTCAGCCACTGTGTAGTGAGAACAATAATGCCCGCTCCATACTTTTAGGGTTATTTAGCTTACTACACTTCCCAAAGCCTTATGGGAAGTACCGAGTGCCTTTTCAGGAATACTGTAGGAGCCCAGTCTTACATCAGATGGAGGTCTGTGATGCCAAGCTGATACTCGTAGGGATCTCTGAACAGACAGGACCAGCTTCAGTGTGACCAGTGCAGTCACACCATTAAAAGAGTGAAATCTTGGAGTTTTGACCAAGGATCCCACATAGTGCTTAATATTTATGTAGTCAGTCTTGAAATGGGTACAGTTCTTCTTCTCATCTTGCTTTGGAGACACAGCTTGACTTTTTAAAAAAAATTTAAAAGATTTATTTACTTATTATGTATGAGTGTTATACCTGCATGTACACCTGCATGCCGGAAGAAGACATCAGATCACATTATAGATGATTGTGAGCCACTTTATGGTTGCTGGGAATTGAACTCAGGACCTCTGGAAGAGCAGACAGTGCTCTTAACCTCTGAGCCATCTCTCCAGCCTCACTCTACTCCCCCCCTCTTTTTTATTTTAATAAGGTTTTTCTGTGTAGCCCTGGCTTTCCTGGAACTCTGTCTTTGGACTGAGCTGATCTCATATCCATAGAGATCTGCTTTCCTGTGCACCAGGCTGGCCTCCAACTCAGAGGGAGATTCACCTGCTTTTGCCTCTTCAGTACTGGAATTAAAGGTATGCACCAACATGCTTGGCTGATTTTATGGAGTATCATATCCTGAGATGTTGGAGTGGCCCATGGCTGGTGATTTAGGACTTTGGAATCAAGGAAAGAGCTAGGTTCAATGCCCTGTTGCACTCTTCCTGGCAGAGTCCCTTGGACAAGATAATGTGTTTGTTTTACTGGTAGAAATCTATGTTGTACAGAGTTTTTTTTTTTTTATTTTTTATTGGTAAAATGTGTATCTCAGGGGAATTAAATAGATGATTTATGGAAAGTGCCTTTCAGAGAGAGCCTGGCACACAGTAGGTGCTCAATCACTATTAGTTCTTCTGGTGCCTGCCAGAAATAACAGAAACCAGGGCAGTAGGACTTAGAAACCTTGCTGCTACTAATAAAAGAAATAATGTGATTTATTTTTTCAGTACTGTTTGGGGAAAGGCATGTGCTTCATAAATATGTATTGGAAAGTACTTAGCAAATGAGTAGAAATAATAAAAATATGTCAAAGTAAACAGCTCCTATAAATATGTCAGTCGGTAGACAAATTAGTGTTTTATTACTACTAAATACTATTGCTTGCGCAAAGGATTTCAGATTACTCGCACAATGGGTACGTTATTGAATGCCTCTGCAGAAGGGCACGATAAAGATGAAAAATAGTGATGGTGATAACGCCTAAGGTAGAGAAAGGAGGGGCATGGGTAAACCCAGCTCTGAGGCCTCGCTCCAGTGATCTGCACAGTGTTTAGCAGCACTCTGAAGACTTAGCCGTAATATGGACCAGAGAGGGGCCAGGGAAAAGGATTTCCATGGGATGCTATGAATCCAGGCCCTAATTATTGAGTCCAACTAGGGTAGTAGGGGCACTCCCTTTCCAAACTGGGCACTATGAAGTTGATCAAACAATCCCAGGCCTGGATCTCATCTCACCCCTGCTCTGGACATGTCTGTGGCTATAATTCCTATCCAGACCCATTTCGGAAACACAAGAGGGTAGACAATATTGGCACGACAAGGGAACAGGAACCAGGGAGGGAAGGGAGAATACCACATACACCTTTGTGGAGGAAAAAGCCCCAAGAGAGGCGGAGAACACTGAGCTGCAGCAAAAGTGAAGCTGCAGGAATAGGCGAGCAGGAGAACGGTGCACACAAGCAGATTCAGTTCAGGTGCAGGGGCATGGAGGTGGGGAGGGAGGGGGGTAGAAGGCGGAGCTCCCTATGCACTCCAGGTTGGAGGCAGCAATGGTTTCACAGCCCAGCTCTGCTTTTCCCTAATCCACAAGGTAGGTCCTTGTTGATAACAAGCAATTAACAGTACAGAGCTTGCTGGGCTGTTTCGAGATCGAGAACTGGAAATAATAAAGGATTTATAAAGTGACAGCCTGATATGGATACATAATATTTTAGCTCAGGCTCCATTCGGATAGTCCTCATTTTAAAACACAATGGGCAGCACTGTGGTAGGGCACTTGTCTAGTATGTACAAAAATCCCAAGCACCAAATATTGAATAAATAAATATACAAATTACTCAGGAAAACTCTGAGAGGTCTTTGACAGGAACCCGAAGCTTAAGAAAATGATGTCACTAGACACCAGCCAGAAGAATTAGCATTTATATGACTTCCGTGACTACGCATCTTCTGAGATCACTGGCTAATGATCCCCTATGCCACCCTGGTGTTCTGTGCTTTACGAAGATCTTTGTGCATTAACTCGTGTAATCTGCTGCCCGACCTGCCTTTCTGGGATGGGCAAGACTTCGGAAAGGTTAAATACCGGCCAAAAGGTGCACAGCTGACGAATCCGCAGTGATTTTCATGGTACTGCAACCTTTCTCAGCTGTATCCTCACCACCCTACCGTGAAAGTGGCTAATCCAAGGAGGAACACACAGGTTATGGTGCCCCACACGCTTGGCTTTTAATATCTCCAAGCGATTTAACACATTGGGTGAGTCTGGGTTTCTTCCATTGTGAGCTGGAACACTGCCGTCTGTCGGGTGCCATGAGACAGGAGATCAAGGATTCAATATTCCAACTTGAAAGCAAGTTGATGACGTTAAAGGACTCGCTCAAGGGCACCAGGCATGGAGTTGGCTCAGCGGAGGCTCGAACTTCGGACCCCACACCTAGCCCGGCTTTCGCCCCGGCCCCGCAGCCCGAAGCCGGGCCTCCCGCCAGAGGGCGCTCGAGGAGGCCGCGCGCTAGACCGCCGCGCGCCCGACTCCTCTCTATGGTGGCGCGGGCGCGGCGGAGCGGGGGCGCGTTCCCGCCGGGGGCAGGCCCGCAGGCGGGGAGGGCGGGGCCGCACGCAGGCCGGGCGGGGCCCACGCCGAGCCTCTGGGGGGGACCGGGCCGGTGGCGGTGGACTTCCTGGGGCCGCCCGTGAGGATGTGGTGCGGGCGCCCGGGCGCCCCTCAGCCCCGGAGTCGCGGCGGCCGCCGAGCCCGCAGCTCCGCCGCCTGAGTGGCCGCGGTCGAGCTCCGGCCTCTGCCGTCCCAGGTGCGGCGGCCGCAGGTGAGGAGGCGGTGGCCGCGGCGGGTCGCGCTGCGGAGGACGGGGCGCCCCGGGCTGTGCGGTCGGGGGTGGGGGGCTCCGGCGGGGCCCCGGGAGCGGGACGGCCCCTTCGCCTCGGGAGCTCCACGCCGCCAGGTCACCCCCGCACCTGTCCCATTGAAAGTGCCGCAAAGCGTTTCGCCCGTGTGCGCCGTAACCCGGGACGTGTGTCCTCAACTTGTGCCCAAGTGTCGTAAGAGCCCGGCCGGTCCCGCTGGCGCCCGGGGAAGGATGCGTTTGTGGAGGACAGAGGAAAGGGAGGCAGGGCTTCGGAGACCCTGCAGATTCGGAGTTTGGAGGTTAGGTGGGAAGTTGGGGATGCTGTTCTCCCCTCCTCCCCGCCCGGGGTCTGCTGTCCGCCTCTTGGGAGGCGGCCTCTGTCACCGAGGTGTGTTAGGTCGCCGCTGTGTGGCCCTGGCCGAGACTCAGAGGCGAGAGGGGCCTCTCCAGCCGGCTGCCCGGGAGACATTTGACCCGGCACGGGGAAGTCTGGGTAGATGAGGGGAGCCCGCAGCCTTTCCTGGCAGCTGTCTGTTCAGAGCTTCATTTGAGCCTGGCAGAGAAGACAGAACAGCAGCGTAATTTCTCCTTTTTGTTAGGCTGTCATTTTTTTTTTTGGAGGGGGTGTGTGTGTGCTGGTTGTGTAATCGAGGAAGAGTACCATTTCTGTCAGTCCACCATGGGGGAAGAGTATTCTTAGCTCGGAAGTGGGGTTTTACCTACGACTCCTACTGTGTACCCTGGTTAAAGGCCCCCACAACTCCTAACCCTGTACCGTGGCTAAAGGCCCCAGAGTGACGCTTGAGCAAACACCCCGGGGTGCATGTGGCCTTCTAAGAAGACAGTAAGCTCTTCTGCATGTTTTGCCTTGTGGCTTGGAGAAGCAGGTGACTTCCTGCCCCCACTTTTGATGGCCTTGTGGTGGTTCTCGCCGAGACAGTTCGGTGTACAGAAATGTGGGCAAAGCTGTTCGAGTATTGTGGCATTTTTCTAGGAATGGGAGGGGCCTCGGTCCTGGGCCGAGTTTGTACAGGTCTAGAGTTTGTAGAAGCTGGCCATATTTCCTTTCTGGCAATTTCTTTATCCTTCGCTCCTGTCCGCCACCACCAACATTCTTTCACATTCAAAGAAATAGATGGTGGCAAAGTGTTTCTGAAACTTGTTGCATATTTGCTAATTCTGGACTCCAGAGTACAGTTCAAGAGTTGTGGTTTATATATTTACAGGTCTTCTTACCTTTGCGAACAGTCGGATTCTGTGGAGGGCAGTTGTGGCCGGCCTAACCAGTAACATGGTGTTCAAAAGATGCCCGGGTAATAGAAAACACACACTCACTCTAATGTTTGTTTAACCGCAGAGTCCAGTCTGTTAAACTTCTCTTATTGATCAGCTGTTGTCCAGACTGATTGTTTACATTGGGATCCAGGGTTGTAAACTCACCAAATCGACCAATTTAACCAACTGTTAAAATAATAAGAAAAAGAGAAAGCTGTTCTCAGAAAGCTTAACTGTTTTCAAACTTTCTGTTCCCCTAAGTATTTAGTACCATCAAATAGAAATGCCTCTTTTTTTATTTATTATGTATACAATATCCGCACGTATGCCTTCGAATCAGAACAGGGCACCAGATCTCACTGTAGAAGGTTGTGAACAACCATGTGGTTGTTGGGAATTGAACTCAGGACCTCTGGAAGAACAGCCAGTGCTTTTAACCTCTGAGCCATTGCTCCAGCCCCAGAAATGCCTCTTAAAGTGGTTTTTACTGACTAGTTTAACAAATAGCAACATTAAACAAAAAGCTTTTCCCCCCAATTACATGAGCCTTGTGAAGTTTAATGCAGCCACACCTGGCTCTGTTGCCGTCACCTGCTACTTTCTGACACTACCTATATAAACCTAAGGAATGTTAGGGAGGGAGCTTAGCACACTGGTTTTTATTCGTCTCAGAGAGTCTTTAATAGTGCTCTTATTTTAATGGCAGGTTAGGGACTCCGACACCAAACTTGTGCTGGTAATATGTTTATGTTTGGGGAAGAAAGTCTTGTCTCAGTTTAGAGTTGGAGTATCCTTCAGAGTTTGATGAGAATAGATGGTTTAGATTGCTGCTGGTGAAGTTCCCAGGGAGGGGCTGTTCTGCCAAGTTTTTTTGGAATTGATTACTTGGTGGCTACTGGTTATTAGCACTGTGTGTGTGTGTGTGTGTGTGTGTGTGTGTGTGTGTGTGGTGATGGTTGTGGTAAGGGGCGGAACTGAGGGCCTTGTACATACTAAATGCATGCTCTACCCAGGAATTGCAGCGATAGCTCCTTAGTTACTTTGTTTGGCTACCGATAATTACCTGTGATTCTGGCAATTTTAAGTGCGATCTTTTCATATGCAGACACAGTTGCCCCTCCCGTTATAGGGAAGTGTTCTGGTTACTTTCACGTTTTGTGACTTTATATTAGCCATGGAATTTTAAGATCCTAAAAGCACTTGGGCTCTCAGGCTCTCGGAAAACGCCATCTCAGATAGGTAGTAATTGACCTTTTGTGTTTATCGTCCTTAGCCTGCCCTGTCCCCAGCACTTACTTAACAGTTGCTGTACAGTGGTCACATCTAATTCTGTTAAGCTGGTCTTAGTCTAAACCCATTATCTTTTCTCTTCCTTCAGTTGGTCATGAAGTTCCTCCTTTGCTTTTCTTATTCAGGCTGAATAGTCCACATTTTTTGGAACCTTGTTTACATCTGAAGTGGAGCTAAGCAGAGTCATGCACTTTTTTTTTTTTAAACATTTCCCTTTTACAAAGCAGGCATAAAATCTGCATTTCTTCTGGGAGAAACCAGCTCTTTTAATCAGATAGTAAAACAAAAGTTTTGTTTTTTTAGCTTTTTACCTTTAGGAAATCTGTGTTAAACTTTTTCTTTCTGATTTTGCCTATAAGGTGCCTAATCGGTAGTGGTGAGTGTTGACCCAGTGGCCCTGGGAGATCCTGAAGTCTCTGTTGTGTCATCAGAGGGAAGTCATATTATATTCAGTGTAGCTTTCAACCTGGTTTGTTGTAAGGAGTTCCCAGAAGCCAGCCACTTCTTGAGAGGTTCTGTGTGTAACCCAGGCATTCTTTAAAAATGCTGGGGGGTCTGGAGAGATGGCTCAGTGGTTAAGAGCACTGCCTGCTCTTCCAAAGAACCCGAGTTCAGTTCCCAGCACCTACATGGCAGCTTACAACTGTCCATTTCCAAGGGATTGGACACATTTATACTAATGCACATAAAATGAAATAAATTATTTTTTAAAAATGCTGATCTCAGGGCCCCACCTCCTGGAGATTTTGATTCATGGGGTGATGACCTACATTTTGAAACCATCTGATTTCCAAAAGGCTCTCCAACTGCTTCTGAGATGCAGCCTAATTTGGGAACCATTGTTGTATTGCATTGATAGGAATCTATGTATTTTTAAGTATATAATATGTACAATAAAAATGCATTATCTGTATCTCAAGTCAGTATGGAACTTTGAAAATTGAAGTTCACTTCTCTGCTTCCTTAATCTTTTTTCTTTCTTTCTTTTTTTTTTTTTCCCAAGATAGGGTTTCTCTGTGTAGCCCTGGCTGCCCTGGAAGTTTGTAGACCAGGCTGGCCTCGAACTCAGAGATCCACCTGCCCAGGTGCCTCCTGAGTGCTGGGATCAAAGGCGTACATACACCGCTACAGCCTGGCTTTTCTTAATGTTTTTAAAATTGAAATGGGACACACTGAATTCTTTATAAGGTGGCGGTCTCCCTGATACTGTCCGGATGCTTAGTTTGCTAGAACAGCCCATTTCCCAGTTGTGACAGATGAACAAAAAGCTTTCATGACTCCTGTGTTCATTGCTTCACCGCAAGGCCCATCTACTGTATTATCTACTGGGAGTCATGAGGGAGGGTTTTTGGTGAAGGTAGCTTTCTTTATCCCCTGAGTGGACAAATGAATGATAATGTGGAAACAGCTGGAGTTTTGAATAGGTGGTGGAATGTAGTTATGATCAGTGTGGGGGTGGGAGAGACTCCCTGGGGATTTTCTGTGTGAGGTTTTAAAAACAAAACCCAACTTGCTGGGTTTTTTTTGTTTCTCATGGCTGAAATCATTGAGATTAATAGGTGCCTAAATAAAATGTCAAAAAGTTTTCATCACAGGCCCTTTGCTGAGTTCATGGAAAGAAGAAAAATTGCTCAAGTCTGGAAGGATCTAAGTTTAATTAGGCCCTTGACATACTAGGGAAATAAGCTTGGGGTTGTTTTTGTTTTTCTAGAAAGGGTTAATCTGTGTAGCCTTAGCTCTCCTGGAATTCATTCTGCAGACCAGGCTGGATAAACTTGGGTTTAGGAAATAGACTAACCTAGTTTTCAAACCCAGCTTTTAATTTCCTGGCTTCATGAGTTTAGGCAAATTACTGAACCTCTGTTGAGCTTTCTTTTCTTTCTTTCTTTTTTTTTTTTTTTTTTTGTTTTTGTTTTGTTTTTTTTGAGACTGGGTTTTTCTATGCTCTCTTGGAACTCACTCTGTAAATAAGACAGGCTTTAAACTCAGAGATCTACCTGCCTTTACCTCCTGAGTGCTGGGATTGAAGGTGTTGTTACCACTGTCTGGCGAGCTTTATTTTCTTAATCTACAAAATGGAAATATCTGGTAGGATTGTTCTGTGGCTTAAAAGATGGAAAATATGCATATGAAGATCGAAAGAGAAAGTCTGGTTTTTGTGTATTGAGGCAGCTCATTTAAATGTCCCTTTAGCTTGATCTCATTAGATTAGTCTACATTCTTAAAATACTGCTTTTTGCATATAGTTTTTGTTTTTGCCAGTTCTGTGACTAGCTTGTAGTAGTGAGTATTGGCCCAGTGGCATTGGGAGATGGTGACGTCTCCTGAGTCATCAAAGGAAAATCATACTATATTCAGTGTAGCTTTCAACCTTACAGCTTGTTTATTGTAAGAAGGTCTCAGAAGGCAGCCATTCCTCGAGAATTCATTGTATTCCATTTCAGTTTTTAAAATGTTAAGAAAACAGAAGCGAACCCCAGTTTTCAAGGATCCACAGACAGGATGATAAAGTCATTTCATTGTATATATTTATATATGATTATGTCGTAAGTACTATATAGCCATATCATTGCAATACAGCAGTGGTTTCCAAACTAGGCTGTGTGCCAGAGGCATCTGCAGAGTCTTTGGGTTTGAAAAGGTGGTTTCACAATGTAGGTCATAAGTTTTTGCAGCATAGCCCAGGATGGCTTTTGTTGTTGTTTTTCTTTAAGCCTCTAAAGCCCTGATTGGTCTGGAACTTGTGTAGAACGGGCTGGTCTTAGACCCAGAGTTCCATCTGCCTCTGTCTCCTTAGTGCTGAAATTAAAGGCATATACCACTATGCCTGGCCTCGCCTCTAATTCTTGATCTCTCCTGTTTTGGCTTTCCTCATAAGTGCTAAGCTTATATCATGCTTGGCTTTACAATAACTTTATTATTTGTGTGTGTGTGTGTGTGTGTGTGTGTGTGAGTGTGTGAGTCTAAGAGACTAAGAGAGAGGGAGGTTGGGAGAGAGAGATTGAGTCTGACTGTATAACCCAGGCTGACCTAGAATTCACTTTTCATGCCTCTGCCTCCTAAGAGGTATCTGTAGCTTCAACCTAAGGCCTCAAACATGTTAGGCAAGTGCAGTGCTGCTGAGCTTCATCTCCACACCCTCCCCATATGTGTACAAACACACACACACATATGATTTTTATAATATATATTTTTATATAATATATTTAAAATTTTATTTTATGTGATAGCTATTTTGCCTGCATATATGTCTGTATACCATGCATATGTCTGGTGCCCATGGAAGTCAGAAGATTTGAGACCTGGAACTACAGATGGTTGTAAGCCACCATGTGGGTTCGAGAAACCAAATGGGTAATCTATAAGCAAGTGCTCCTTATTGCTGAGTCGCCATTATCAGCAGCAGTCATTGTAGTGGCTAGTTTTATGTCAGCTTGACACAAAGTAGAGTCATGTTTCCATAGAATCAGGCTGTGGGCAAGCCTGTAGGGCATTTTCTTTATTAGCAGTTCATGGTGGAGAGCCCAGCCCTTTGTGGGTGAGGTCACTTCTGAAGGGGTAGTTCTGAAAGCAGACTGAGCAAGCCATGAAGAGTGAGCCAGCAAGCAGCACCCCTCCATGCCTTTAGCATCAGCTCCTGCCCCCAGGTTCTTGCTCTGTGTGAATGCCTTTTCTCACAGCTTTCGATAATGATAATGAACTGTTATATGGAACTGTGAGTGAAATAAAGCGTTTCCTCCACAAGTTGCTTTTGGCTATGACATTTCATCACAGCCATAGTAACTTAAGACAGTTAACATCATCAATTTGAGATAGCTGTTCAGGCTGGCTTTGAACATGCCCTTCTCTTGCCTTAGCCTCCCCATAGCTAAGTGCATCACGCCTAGCTAATGTATCTGTTCAAATCCAGCGTCCCTTTTATGTTTTTTTTTTTCAGGAATGTTTACCCAGTTAGTTCTTCTAGAACCAAGGACTAAAGAACCAGAGAATATGGGTGAGAAAACTGAACCACAGGACAATTAGCAATGCTTTAACATTTTTTCAGAATGAGTGGAGTGTTGGCATGTACCCAGAATTCCTACCTGCAGGAATAAATTAATAGCATCTGAATTCTGCTTGGTGTGTTTGGACAGTAGCCCAGAAACTCCAGATTAGGCCAGCAGGCTTTGAGGGTGGCCCTGTTGAATGGGGCCTGGACTTGATTTGTTTCCATGTTTCCCTTTTCTAGGTCTTGGTCCTTTCCCCCTCTGTTCTTCCTCTAAGCTGCCCTTCCTTTCAACTTGCTGATCACGCAGGGATGATTACAGGCTGGGCCCCTGGCACCAAAGGCTAAAAGAGGTTGCTGGTTGCTTACACCTGTCGCCCAGCTAAATGAATAGGCTCTTTTGTAGGTAGGGTGTCAACGAAGCTGATTAGTACAATGCTGGCTCCAGGGCCTACTAATGACACAGCATATGGAAATCACAGGGCGATTTAGAGCCATTGTAGAGGGTTTTTTTTTTTTTTTTCCTTCTTACACTATATATTTATTTTTTCATATTGGATTATCGAACCAGCTGAATTTTTGCATGTAACCTATGAATCTGTTCACTGCCGAAACAGACTAATTTCTGTCATATTGACTGGGAATCATTTATATTCTGTAGAAGTCCCTACCCTTAAGGGCCTTTGTATTGTTCAGTAGATGTCTGGTGTGTAATATAATTAAAGTTTTGTTCACTGAGCGCTGACATAATTAGTTTAATTTCTGCTCCTTTATACATTCCTGTTGGCAGCTGGAAAATTAAAATACTAGATGTTGCATAAAACTGCTTTTTTGAGGGTGATTTTACTGTCAGTTGAATGGACTTAGGCCCCAGGGTACATTTTTTAAGATGTCTTATTCAACTTGCCTGTAATAGTCTCCTCTGTATAGAATTAATGTATTAAGACACATAATTGGCTATTTCAGCATGCAGCAGAGACAGTGTTTGGCCTTTTACCCCGTGATTATATTTTTTCCTACATCTCTTTTGAGGGAATATGTGTAATTTTTGGAAACTATCACAGTTACATGAGCACACGAGGGGCCTGAAGACGGGAGTGGTTCTCTCTGATAAGCCGCAGTATTTAATTCTCTCCCCGAAGGGTCGGTCTGTTCCTTTTAGATCACAGCACTTGTAAAGTTGATGTGGAGGTGGGAAGACTGTGGAGCCTGGTAAATCCTTTCATAATTTTCCTGTACGTTTCACAGAAATGGCTTTGACTGTTCAGCAGCTGAACTTGCTCTCAAGGAGGCTTTACATTTAATTATTCTGATCTTCACTTAATTTCCTACAAGGTTCATAGGGAGCGTCTTACCAGGCTGATATTGTGGCTATGACCTACACAGGTTTTTATCTGTCTTAAGTCACCAAAGTTTTATCTATCTATCTGTCTGTCTATCTGTTCTATCTCTCTGCCTGTCTATTTAAAATGAAAAGTGACCTTGGTTTGGTAACTTCTCCAATTGTTCGCTCCTTTAAAGAGGTAATAGCAGGGCTACCCTTCTGTCTCAGCAGCCTTTCCAGATGAGCACAGTGGGTTTTTGAAGGTGGGTGGGACGGAGGCTAGGCTGTATGGTGTTGCTGGCGTGGTCTCCACCTTGTGGGCTCAGGTGACTCTCCGGCACAGCAGGAGTAGCTGTGAATTTGGGGTTTCGCTGGATGGGTGTCACCTGACTTTGTCAGGCTGGCTTCTAGCACTCTATTTTCGACCTTTGCGCTTGTCTAGAATGGCATGGAAGTATACGGCTGGCTCCATTGCTCCGGGATGTGGAGTGATCAGGGCTAGTTGCTCCCACCACTCGCGGAACCTGGCTCCCTCCAAGAGGAGGGGAAATGACCCCTATTTAAATCAGTAGGGTTCCCTGAAAGATCAGAACTGTTTGGATCCTTCTTAAGGAATGGGCCTAGCCAGGAGTCAGGCCAGTTGGAGGCTCTGCTGGCCACTCAGTGGCAAGGGCAGTTCGATAGTAGTCTGTCCCCATCCTCACTTTGTTTTTTTGCCTGGGTTATGTTGATAGATTTGAAAGAAAAGAGGGAAACTTTCCTAAGTAGAGCGCCCCTCCCCCACTGGACTTTCTTGTTTTACCTCATTTGTCCTGGAAACTTTCCAGGCTTGGGATGATACCTTGAACGCACTGACCTAGTGACTACCTGAATCAACATACTGTCTCATAAAATGTGTCCTTCACACCCTGTCTCTCTTCCCTTTTTACTCAGTCGTGACTAAGAGACCTCTTGAGATACCTGCTCGGGTAGCCACGCCTCAGCCTCCCTCCATAGGTTGCCAGGCGTCCCATGAGTCCTTGCTGTTAGGTTGCCTTGTAGCCTCATTTAACTGTGGAACCAGACCATATGCTTTATTTGAAAACGCCGGATAAATGCTCTGACTTGGAGAAGGAGCACAGTGTCTTCTCGTGCTCTGACAGGCGGTCCAGTGGAAGTTCGTCTATTTTGAGGGATAGGTAAGTATGGTTCTCTGGTTTTTGCAGATATGTAGTCATTGTTTGGACAGTTTGGATTTTTTTTTTTTTTTTTTTAATGGAGAGGAGTAGAGGCTAAAATTATATGCAAGAGATTGGGAAAGAAAAACTTGTTGGGCTGTGGGGCACAAGCCTTTAATCCCAGCACAGAGGCAGGCGAATCTCTGAGAGTTCCATGCTAGCCTGGTCTATAGAGCAAGTTCCAGGACAGGGAGGGCTACACAGCGAAACCCTGTTTCAGAAAAACAAAAACAAACAAAAGAACAAAAAAAAAAAATTGTTTTGTTTTTCAAGACAGGGTTTCTCTGTGTAGCTTTGGCAGTCTTGGAACTTGCTCTGTAGCCTAGCAGGCTGGCCTCAAACTCAGAGATCAGTCTGCCTCTGCCTCCCGGAGTGCTGGAATTAGAGGCATGTGCCACCACTCGCCACTAAGAAAAGAAAATTTTAATCCACCTCTAATTCTGCACTTTGGGCAACACTAGAGTCAGGCACTTTCTTGGTCATTTTATCATCTACCGGGGGAGAGTTGGTGTAATCCGTGTCAGATTTTAGGTGTGAACTAAGTGGGTGGGAAGAGGGTGGCAGAATAATTCCTAGAGAGCCTTCTGTAAGGCCTCTACCTGTGGCCGTTGGGTGGATTGAGCACCCCAGGTGACAGGCCCAGCTCAATGCTCCCCAGGGGTGGCCTGCTGACACAGGAGTAGAGCAATAGCTTGTGGGACAGTGATTGGGACCCAGCAGTGACTGACTGGTAACACCATTCTGTATCCCCAGGTGGTTTTCATCAGACTCCTAAGTCACATTTACTTGATGAAATCTGATGGAAATATTTTTCTCCCTCTCCCACTTTCCCTTTGTTCTTCCCCCTTCTTCCCCTTAACCCCACATTTGTTTTGCTTTGTTGAGACATGTTTTGCCAGACCAGGCTGACCTGGAACTTGTGTGGCTCCTCCTGTTTGCCTTCCTCCAGGTTTGTCTTCCACGTGAGTCAGTTGCAAATGTGCCCCACCACACCTGGCTTCAACATAGCCTTAGATAACCAAAACCAGTTTCAAAAGTGAAAATATTTTTAGAAATGCAAATACTTGAAAGGTAAAAAAAAAAAAAAAAAAAAAAAAAATGCAGGGACTGGAGAGTTGGCTCAGTGCTTAAGAGCACTTAGTGTTCTTGCAGAGAGCCTAGGTTTGGTTCTCAGCACCCACATGTTGGCTCACAGCCATGCTAGGCATGCATGTGGTACACATGTGTTCATGCTGGCAAAACATTCACATTGAATAATTAAATAAATAGAATGAATCTTTCTTTCTTTCTTTCTTTCTTTCTTTCTTTCTTTCTTTCTTTCTTTCTTTCTTTCTCTCTCTTTCTCTCTTTCTCTCTTTCTCTCTCTCTTTTTTTTTTAGCCTTAGCTGGCCTGGAAGGCACAGAGATCTCCTGCCTCTGTCTCTCAAGTGCTGGGACTAAAGGGATGTGCTACCACCACCTAGCTTAAAATTAAATTATTAAGGGGGAAAATGCCTCTAGAACATGGGTTTAGTTTAGAGGCAGAGCACTTGCCTAGCATGTGGTTTAGTCCCTAGCAGTTCCCATGTGTGCATACACGCACACATACACACAGCTTCTAGTTTTGTTTGAGAGTCAAACAAACTTAAAGAGCTTTGAGCATCATGTCAAGAGGGCAGGTTTTAATGCTGTGATACATAGCTAAATGTTTTTGAGACAGGGTCTCACTAAGGCTGGCCTTTTAACTCTCCGTTGTTGTGCGGTAGATATCCAAGCACTGAGATTACGGATGTGCATTTTAGCATCATTTGGTCCCTCAACCAAACATTACTTTTGAAAAGGGGGGAGTGTTAACATTTGTTATTACATACTGTAAATATTAAAGAGTTGAAGCACACCATGTACATTGTAATGTACTGGCTGTAACATCTTCATTGGGTCACTTGGTTTTTTTCAAGACAGGGTTTCTCTGTGTAGCCTTGGCTGTCCTAGACTCACTTTGTAGATCAGGCTGACCTTGAACTCAGAGATCCATCTGCCTCTGCCTCAAGTGCTGGGACTACAGGCATGTGCCACCATCCACCCCCGCCTACATCTTTATTGGAAATAGCACAGACATTGTGACTTGTGTGTGTGTGTGTGTGTGTGTGTGAGAGAGAGAGAGAGAGAGAGAGAGAGAGAGAGAGAGACTTATTTTTATATCCTAAAACTTTAGTGGGGTTATATATCTGAAATTTTAGTTTCCACCAAATCTTTTTAAAAATGCAGATTTCAGCTCTGTGTGGTGGTAATTAGGAGGTGGAAGCAAGCAGCTTTTGAGTTCAAGGCCAGCCATGATTACATAGTGAGATCCTGAAGCAGATATCTGTGTTTTAGTCAAGGCCTGTAGAAGCTAGGTGCCTGAAGTGGGGTGGTAGCATTCTTGAAACAGCTAGTCTCCAGTCCCCAGTACATCTGTGAGAAAAAAACCCACACATTCAAAACAAAACCAAAAAAGTTTGTAAATTGGGACTTTTTTTTTAGAGTGCCAGCTCCCGAATGACACAGAGACTTCTTGTATTTATTATGAGCTTAGGCACTATAGCTGGGCAGATTCTCAACTATTCTAACCCAACAATTCTGGCCTGGTCCACGTCCCGCCATGCCCCATTACCTCTCTTCAGTACCTTAGTCCCAGCACTTTTTTCTTCCTCCACATCTGTCTGGAAGTCCTGCCTGTCTCTCCTGCCTTTGCTATTGGCCGTTCAGGTCTTTATTAAACCATCAGAAGGTGTTGGAGGGAGTGCTTACAAAATATGATGCATCCAAAGAATAATGATACCAAAGTCCAGTCTGTACTTGGCTCTCTGCTGGTACAGAAATCAGCATTTGAATAATACAAAGACAACCTTTACAGAGTGCACAAAAAGATTATCCCCAGCAAGGATGAGAAACACTGACGTCTTTATTTTGTAGAAGAGACTGAAGGCACAGAGGAACTGAGTCAGGTTCTTGCGTCCTGATTGATGTTATTTTCTTGTGGTCTCATTGGTGCTATTTCTCGATAGTACAGCAGCATGCTTCCTTACCACTTTCTGTACTTGAAATCAGAATCTGTAAGATGAGAGCAAGGGTGCTTTGATTCCTTCATAATAGTAATGACCAGCTCTCACATAGTGGTGTGAAAAGTTAGCGTAGGGCTGGAGAGGTGCTTAGGGCTTAGGAGTACTTGTTGCTCTTTGTAGATGGATCTGAGTTTGGGTCACAGCACTGAACTCCAACTTGAGAGCATCTGAAACCTCCTTCTGGCCTCTGTGGGCATCAGGCATGCATGTGGTACCCAGACACAAAATAACAAATCTTAAAAAAAAAAAAAAAAAAAAAAATCAGTGTTTGGGAAGAGAAAAGCTATTATGTCCTAAATGTGATGTAGCACCGGCCTTGTAAAGGGTCCCCACCCCAACTCGCAACCCTCATCAAAATTATAAAAGGAAAATGAACAGAAAAGCCACGGGCTTAAATGTCAGAGCAGTGTCAAAGTGCTGTGAAAATATCACAGTTTACATGATTTTCTGTCTCCCTTGATGGATCTAAAGCACAGTTTGAGTTGCACTTTTCTAGATGGCTGTGAGGACATGTCAGGAATTTGATGCTGCAGGTCTTCTGTCATTGTCTCTGTAGTACCACCTGTAACTGTAGCAACCAGGTGAGACTCTTGGTCCTCCCTGAGGAGAGACGGCCCATCACCTAGGGACTCCAGGTCACAACCATAATTTTAATACAGTGTGAGGATTAGGTGAGGGGCATTCAACTAAGAGTAATTTGGTAGAACTGTCTCTCGGCTCTCGTCACTAAATACTGTCACTTCCAACTCCATGGAAATACTGAAAGATAGAGAACAAAAAAAAAAAAAAGAAAAGAAAAGAAATTTAGGGGTGTGTAGATTGAGGGACTTCACTTGTACTTGCTTTCCAGCTCTCCTGTGTAAGAAGTGTGGGAAGGCGGCCGGGTGTGGTGGCCCATGCATGTAACCCCAGTACTCAGGAGGCAGAAGCAGGCTGATCGATGTGAGTGCCAGGACAGCCATAGCTGCACCGAGAAACCCTATCTTGAAAAAAAAAAAAAAGTGTGCGAAGAAGCATTAGTCATTTGTATATTTGTATGGCTATAACGTCCAAAATGGTATCTACTCGGGGCTGAATAAAACTCTCTTCATGTGTGCTTTGCATTCTGGTTTGATTGTCTAGTTATATGAAATTCTGAACTTGAAAAATTATTGGAGCATTATTTGAGTAGTTAGACAATAATGAAGCTGTTTGGATGTTTCAGGGAACACAGCTTCCTGTGTCTGGATTTTGCACAGGAGATAGTTTCAATTGTTCTGAAGCAAAGATGATTAAGAAACTGCATCATCTGTGGCTTGACAAAGCTGCCCAGACTTCTGGCCATGCTGGGGCCTTTGTACAAATACTGCTTAACACTTGGAGAGAGTTTGTATATCTTTTTGTTTTTCAAGACAGGGTTTCTCTGTGTAGCTTTTGCTGTCTGGACTCACTTTGTAGTCTAGGTTGGCCTCAAACTCACAGAGATCCACCTGCCTCTGCCTCCCAAGTGCTAGGATTAAAGGCCTGTACCACCATACCCAGCAAGTTTGTGTTTCTGATTCTAAGAATGTCTGGTTCTTTACTGAATAGTAAGGAACCTAGAAGGGGAGAAGAGCATTTGTAGTGAGAATTCTGAAATTTTGGTTTCTTAAAAAACAAACAAACAAACAAACAAACAAACAGCACACAGAAATGTGACAAGAATGTTTTCGTTTTAATCCCAGGCGTGGGAATATGGGTCTGCTTCACAGCAGCTGACTAATTTGCCTCATGCTCTGGTGGGGGCATGATTTTGCCAGCTGCAGATAGTTTCTGCGATTGTGTGGCAGAATTCTGGGGACTTTTCAGAGGGTTAAAGCCCCTGACAGGTGGCTTGGTTGTTGTTCGTCATGGTTTGTT